AACTGATAACAGCTGGGAAAACCAGACAGGCTGAGAGGCAGACATGCCTTTTGCCTTACTGCTCTCTGTCTCTTGGAAACTGACTCCTGCACTCCAGGGTGGAAGACTAGCCATTAGTGCATTTTGGGAATTCTAATTTTGGATCCTCATTAGACTCTCCCTGTTAGTGAGTAACTTTTATAAATGAACAGCACTACCATAAGCTAATGGCTGTATTAGGACCAGGACATAGGATATTGTAGTTAATTCATCTTATTTCAGAGGAATTTAACTCAGGTGCTCTAGTAAAGCTGCATGTTGGAGACATGCATTCAGGTAAACTGTAGAGGGACCTAAAGGCTGCAGTACACTTTTGATGCCAAGAACTGGCTTCTGGGTTAGAGCACTGACTGCTTCTTTGAAGCAGCGTCAGTGTTTCCACCCATTTTACTTCAGTTTGTTGTCATTCAGGTATTCACTGAATAAATGTGCTTCTGTTGGAAAACAAGTAGCTGAGTAAATTGGTTAAGTGGACAGTTCATGATCTACAATAGACTACATTAACAAAATTCAAATATTGGTACTGAGTCATGGTTCGATAAGCCATTTGTTTCAAACTCTAGGTAATTATTAAATAAGCAAAACAAGAATCAAGGAAAAGCAGCAGTTTTTAGTATGCTTGCTAGAGCCATTTAAAATATATCTGAATCAAAATAACAAACTTCTCAACACATTTAAAGTAAAATAGAAAGGGAAACCATCCACATGGTTGGTAACCCCTTGTTTTTGCAGATGTGACTGGTTTTCTCATTTGCAGAATCATATTTGCTGTGAACAAAGGCTTCCTGATTGTCATATCAACTTGACTAGAAGGCTATTCTGCAGCTAGAGAGATATCAAATATTAATATTTGTGCTCATGTAGTCAAAGGTGCGTGTATTAGATAGATCTTGAGTCTGGATATAGCTATAGCCTCTTATAAAAACCAAACACAATTTAAAAATTACAGTGATAATAAATCAGTGCAGTGTGTTTTGTCAATAATTGATCCTAGACAAAAATCAGATACATCCTCTGAGCCTAAGATAAAGCCAGATGAACCAGAGACAACTGGGTTTATGAAGGAAGAAAATGTATTCTTACATTTATTTTTTTTTTTAAGTTCAGAGTAAGAGGCAGCAGGGGATTTTTTGTGTTAATGACATATATATACATAGGTGTAGATCATTCACTCTGTATTTTAAATACAGGGCTTTACAAGGTACCGTGAGCTGTTGCTTAATGAACGAGTTAAAATAAAATTATTGTTTGTGTTACAGTGCAGATAGATGATGTTGTCTTGCACTTGGTAATGCATCAGAACAGTTTCTTTTTTCATTTTGGATAAATAATGGTCACAGTGCCTGGAGAATATGGAACAGTTTCTGTCCGTCCTGTAATTACATGGAAGTTCCCCAGTGGGTCTGATACGACCTTAATTTTAATAAGTGGGCCTTATGCTTGGATTCCTTCTCTCAAAATAGGCTGCAACAGCAGGACATGTGTTGATCTTTTATCTTTCAGGCGACACAGGAAGCGGAGGGGAGTTCACTGCTTGTCAGGAGGTCCTTCCTCCACCTTTCCAGGCAAAAAAGTGCTCAAGCAGCAATATGTAAATCTTGAGTACTCACCTGGTGATCCTTCATTTACCTTTTCGCTTTTATGTACACTGGCCATTAAGGTTTGAAGTTTTGATGATCCCCTGTAAGCTCTGTCTTTTTAAAATGAGATTGTCGCTCTTCCTGTAGTGTAACCATGGAAACAGACAGGGAACCCTTAAAGAAAGTGATCGAACATGCTGTGCTAATTAATCCTACCCTTCATTTTTTTTTCAGTTGAAGGATGTGGTTAAATAAATTTTGCATGAGTAAGCATATTTAGATGTGAAAAGGGGTATAAAATATGTAGCAAATTTTCTTGCAGAAGGATATCTGAGAAAACCCTGGTAACTGTCATCTATTTGCATCTGGAGCATCAAAACAAGAAATGCAGTATCATATTGGTGTTTCACATATATATTTTCGTAGCATTCTTTTCTATACTGTAAATATATCTGAAAGATGAGAGTATTTTTTCACGTCTCAAGTGCGATGAGAAACATTTGCATTAATTTTGAGTCTTTGAGTGAAAGTGTTTAAAATTGCAAATGCCTTCTTTATACAGAGCGTTATTCAGAAAAAGCAAAGGTTGCTTCCTCCCTGAAAGAAAGCAGCTCCTCCAAGGCATTTGCCTAATTCAGGTCCTTTGAGTCCTGCACAGGGGTAGTGACTGACTGAACAGTGGGACTGTGCCAAATTTTCCCCTTCCTAATCTTAGTTTTTGTGAGTGTTTCCCTTGGTTGTTCACTCTTGCTTTCCACTGGGCCATATAGTTTCCAAAGCAGTGTATGTGCCCAACTAGGAAACCAATTAGCCACAACTGAAAACATATGGCTTGTACCCATAAGCCTCCCCATAAACCAGCACACCTCTTAAACCCTGTGATGATGTCTAATGCCAATGTAGGGCCTCAACTCGCTTTTACAAATGAAGGTTTTGTTTATAAGTTTCTCCTTTCCAGTGATGATCCTCATATAACCAAGAAACCAGGTGCAGCAGCGAACCTCAAGTGAGATTTTCATTGTGTTTTGGGAGTGAAGAATGTATTAAAGAAAAACAATAGGCTGGGATTAGCCCAAAAGGGCCATCCTTTGAAAATCAGATAGATTTTACTTAACCTGGAATAGATTAGAGTTGGAGGAGATCTAGAAGCAAGCAGTATGCTGAGGAAACAGCATGGATGGCATTCCCAGCAGGATGGGAGGACTGGTTCCATGCTGAACAGTCACAGAAGAGGAGGAAAGGTGTGCTTGGGCTGACTATAATACTTGCAAAGCTCCGTCCTGGCCATCAAAGTGGCAGAAACTGGCTGGCAAGCTTGGATATTGTATTATTTGCAGTGTGACTTCTGGTATGGCAAGTTGAGGACTCCTTTCTCTCCACATGGGAGATTTCTGGAATGTGTGAATCATCAGCTTTGTGTTATGGAAATTTGAGTGCATTTTTCATCCCACAAGCTCTAAAGTTTTTTGACAGTTTTCCCCAAAACACATGATGTTACTGACTTCTTAAAAATGCCTTTTCCCTGCCTGCTTATGTCTCTTCTCTTATCAGAGCTAGGTAGAAGATTAGAGAGGAAGTTGTTTGCAACCAGTTTCAGTCTTCCTCAAACAAGACTAACAGGGAGGGCTCAGGCAGGCAAAGAAGGATGGAGTCATTTAACATCCAGAATTCTCAAATCCTTTCATAATTTTTATATTGCTTAATAATACTAGGTCCATATCCACAAATTCAGGGAATAGTGTTTCAGTTTAGTCACATGGAACATAGATGCTCAGAAACTCAGGCTTGTTAATAGTTCTGTGTGCTAGGAATAAGAACTGTTCACTAGCAAAAACATTAATCTAGAGGCAGAGGCACTGTGGAGCACGTGATGTGACCTCTTTGGGGCTGTACCTGGCCAACCTTGGGCTGTATTTGTGAGCCAACTCATTCATCAAGCTGGTGGCCAGGTGCACAAATGTAAAAGAAATGGAGGTCTGAACATTTTTAAAAATGAGTTTTCTTGTTTCAAATGTGATTTTTTAAAGAAGAAATCATGGCATACAATTCAAATTATTCCTCTACAGTGGTCTAACTGCTATAATCAGCTGATAATGCAATCTGCTGGCAGGATTTGCCATCATTACTATGGAGATATATTCAGTAACTGTTCTTAAATAGCCTTTCCAGTGTATTAAGAATAAAGGGGCAAAGCACTCTTCATCTGCACTCTTTTGAGAATTCTCATGTTGCTTATTTCTTTCTGAGTGTATGACTTTGTTTCCTTGTTTCTGTAAGGTATAAAACATGACCTTTTGTTTTAGTAATTTCATTTGTTTTGTGAAAGGAAAATCAGTAGTTCAAGAAGACACAAAAAAGCACCCAGTAGTACATTCTCCTGATTTCCATTACTTGTGCATGTCCAGTGTTCCCAGCAAGGGAGTGGAGTGGTCTCAAGGCAGTAGCTAGGAGCCGATAATTTGAAAAGGCATTTGCAGGCCTGTAATGGGAACAGTCACCTCTAGCCCTGAAAATGTTTTTCCATTTTCTGGAGGAGAGCATCTTCTGCAGGAGAAACATTGTTACAAAAGTGTGCTCTCTACTGCTGGTTTTAGCATATGATGGTCTCTCTTTTACATGAGGTAGATTATGGTTGTGTAGTAATGTGAATTATTTTAAATGACTGACAAGCTTAAAAGACAATTATTGTAAATAATAAATCTTCAGTAGGCCACAGACTTCACTGAAATGATTTCTGAAATTGGTGCACTGCCAATACACATTCGTCGAGAGAGAAGAATTTTTCACATACCATTTTCTGGTGTATTACTACAATATTAATATTTATTTGAATGGTAATGTGTAAGTGTGTCTACAACTTTCAAACATAAACTTGAATAAGCAAGCTAGGGTTTGCAGTGTAAGCTGTGGAAGGTTTCCTTAGGATTCCCTAAAAAGCCAAATCTCCTCTGTGGCATCATTTGTATGGGAGTTTCCTTATAATTTCCTTTTTCTAAAAAACTCTGAAATCAAAGGATATCGATGCCTGAGGATGAGCAGTTAATGACAATTAAAATCTTTATTTATTTGTCTAGGTATACCTGCTTATTTGTTTAGGTATACCACCATGTATCTTTGCATCTCTCCTGGGCCTGTGGTTGTCATTATGAAAAGCATATTTTATTGTCCCTTCATAATATTCACAGCTCTGTTTAGCCAGGTACCAAATGACAGATGCTACCATGTTTTTTCATTAAGTAATTTACTCCAGTAGTAGAAGAAAAGTACGCTTGCAACATGCCGTCACATTACATGGGCTCAGATATCCTTTTAGGATTGTAACTATACAGCAAACTCTTTCTTTGTTTTGTTTACATTTATTTATTTGTGTTTACCCCACAGGTCTTGCAAGAGCTAAATCAGTCCCCAGTCATACATATTCTAATGAAGTGGTAACCCTATGGTACAGGCCTCCAGATGTCCTTCTGGGATCAACAGAATATTCCACCTGCCTTGACATGTGGTAAGTGTAGATGATGGTGATGATGTAGATGCTTTAGCTCTTGGGTTTTTTGGGCATGTAAAGCAAATATGTAGTGAGATTAGTGATAGAGGTTAAAAAACGTGTGTGTAGTAATACATGTGGTTCACCCAGCATCTCCCTAAAGGAATCCCCTCCTGCCACCCCACTGATTCGCAGCTGGTACCTGCTGTTGATACGACACTAGAAGACCTATTGGTGCTTTGCAAGACACTGAGTTATTGCTTGACTTTTGTAGTCTTAGTGCAGTATTTTCATGTGATATGACACTTGTTTTGCGGAAGATAAACTTTCACCATGGCCTCCCGTAGCAAGGAGAAACCCTGAATTCTCTGGATGTGACCATATAGCCTCAGTTCTTAATCTACTGGATTTGTTAGCAGTAAATCAGTGTGACACATCACTGAATAGTTTTTTTACAAAGCTACGGATTTTATTTAGACTTGAAGGTTTGGAAGGGCAGTTTGATTTGAGGATTGGCAGTTTGATTGAGGAAGGACTCAAAATTGTACTTCAGCAATCCAGGTTATTATTTTTTTTCCTGAGAAAATGGCACAAGAATATTGGGGAAAAACACAATAATTACATCTTCTGTGATATCCATAAATGATGTCCTCTTGCACGGAGCATTTCATATAGGCCTAAAAAAGATCCAAGTACTTAGGGACAGAGGTGGTTTGTTTGGTTTCAAATGAAGAATGATGTCCTATTCCTCTTGTACTTGATTTGTAGCCCTTACAATATTTTTGCTGCTCTGTGCAAACTGAAGAACTACGAAAAGCTTAGGAAAAAAGCCCCAGCAATACAGTTTCTTTCACATGGCAGCAATTTGTGTAGAGGCTCAGCTACTGCCACATCAGAAATCAGATTAGGGCAAATGTGTATTGTATTTGACAGAAGAGGTTTAGGTTTTTACTTCTATGCTTTTCTGGGTTATCTGAGACAGCACTTCCAGTTTGATTGTGAGAGGTGTAGTTGCATGTTAAGGTCACTTATGCTTACTTGGCACATTCAATAGTGAGCTCTGCTGGAGCACAGAGAGGCTTGGGGCTGTACTTACACAAAGGTTGTACATAGCTGAGCCATAATTATATTAAAACCACTTGGTGGCTTCCCAGAGTGGGAGGAAGGGAGACACAGAAACCTGCCCACCATCAGATTCCAAGATAATCTGGTAATTTGTTATGAAAAGTGTGTTTGTAGCATTAGCATTTTTATGCAATTACTGGCATTATGTCCTTATGGCAGATAGTGTGTGCACTCTTGTGTCATTATTGATGATCTACATGATGACTAAACTAGGAAGCCACTTCACTAAGTATTTAAATAATGCTGAGGTAGAAAGCACAGCTGTTTCCTCTATTTAGAGAAAAAAAAAAAGACACAGGGCCTTTGCTATAGCCATGATAAATAACATTTCATGGTTGTTCCCCAGGAACAGAAAGTGGGGCTCCCACTGAGTAGAAGACCAGCTGCATGAAGAAAGAGTCCAAATATTAACCCCTGGACAGTGGCTGGGAAGCAGGTGGCAGAGGCTGCAGGCTATTTTTACACTTCATTTGCTGGTGTAGAGAATTAGAATAGTAACTAAAAGCTAATGATCCACATGCAATGTTACATTCTCCTGCATTCTTTTTTTTTAAATAGCCACTGGCAATAAAATAATATTAATGAAGACGTACATGCATTAGTGGTGTCAGGCTGCTGATGGAAATCAATGGTGGGCTTTGTGATTTACTGCTGACAGCGTTTGATACAGCAGCATTATGTGACTGTATTATACTACCCATGACTGCATCAAAGAGTTGTGATAACCTTTGATATAGCTTGCTTTTTTTTTTTTCCCTCTTGATGAGGACTTACTAGTAGCTAGGAAAATGGCTTTGCATTGCCTCTGGTGTAACTTGCCCTAATCCTTGAATTTTACAGTCCTTTGAAAGTCAATGCAAGGAAAATAGGCTTCAACACATAAAGGGTTTAGGGATTACTAAAACCCATACATAAGTAACACAGAAACATAGGGAAAAAAATCCCCAAATGAACCTATTCTATTTGTTCCTTACAGGAAAAGTATAGTATTAGTAAATGAAGCAATTTAAACAGGTTATTATATCCATTTGATTCTGGTAATGCATGTGCTGCTGCTACATCTGGGTTGCTTACATCAAGGAGTCACTAGGGATGTTTTATTTTGAAGTGCAGCTGGCTTTAAACTGTGTTTTCCAACAGCTGGCAAATTTTTTTCATATTCCCTTGTTTCACTTTTTTTAAAAAATACACTCTTAGTCACAGTACAGGTAACCTAAGCAGTTATGGGCTGGGATATATTTTAAATTCATTTTCATTAACTAACATCAGCTATGTTTATTGCTGCGGAAGAAATAAATTAAACTTAGGCCAGTCAAATGTTACAAAAGTGCTTCTTAAATCACTGTTATGTAACTGTAACGTTGGTTTTTATACATGATTTCAAATCTGATCTTAGTTCAGGGAAACTTCTTCATATGGAATTTTTCTATCGTATTATTAGAAAAATAAAGTGTGTTTTTCAAGAACACACCACTTTTCACACATAGGCTGCTATGAGTGTGCATTTGAGTGCTTACTGTAATTCCATACATGCTTTCATGGATATTTGACCAATGAAGACCTGCGACAGTAACTAAGATATTCATTACAGAAAAATGGATCTTGTCACAGACACACGTGCACCAAATTATGTTTTTTACACAGGGGATCTTACAAAGGCATCTTTATCCTGTTTCTCCTGTAAACAGTTTGCAGTGGGAGAAATATGAGAGCAGGAGTCCCAGTATGCCCTTAAGAAATACTTCTTGGGGCCTGAGAAAGAAAAGAGCATAAGGGAAATTAGCTCTTTTGCCCTCGATGTCCTTCAGGATTGTGACTTCCACTCCTAAGAAATCCCGATGTGTAGGATTATGGTATTAAGGTGATATAGCAATAACTATCAAGCTATTGTTAATTAAACTTCTCTCGCTGTCAGTAAGCTCTTCAAAAGTTGTATAAGCTGAATTAGCTTTTGACTGGAAACTTCTGTAGGATCAAATTCATAGAAATGCTGTTTGAGAGGAAACTGTCTGGGTCTGTAGTTATGGAAAGAGCATTTCAGTTCCTATCTGAAACCTGCTTTTATCCTTTGGGAACATCAGATTTACTGTTACTTTTTCACTGCTAGAAATATGTTTCATGTGTGTAAGGAAATTATCTTATAAAGGTATCTGGATGCAAAAAGAAAACCAGAAAGAACGCATTCAACAGGAAAGTATCTCAGGTTGCTCAAGTTTGTGGAGTATTTTCTTGAGGTAATTTTGCACTCTGCTTTTACTGAACAAGTGAGTTCAACAGAAAAATTCTTGCAAAAAGTGATCATGTAGATTTCAATCCTTCATGAACATAGTATTTCTTAATGTAGAAACTGAGCATTGCTACAATGCAAAACAAATTTCTGGAACTTTTAATTCTAGGTAGCTCTGTGACACAGGCAAAAACATGAGCACTCTAGTCACTTGTAATTACAATTACTTGAAGTCTGACTGTAAAGAAATACCTTGAGCTATCATGCTTTCAAGTAAATCAGTTTTCATTCATTGCATCTGCTTCCTGCAGAAATTTTAATGGTTTTTGTCATCACAGAAGAGAAATTCTGATTCACTCATTGCTTCTCATGTGAGAACTGCAATCTGTTTGCTGTGTTGCTGCTGTATTTTTATCAGACTGTATAGTCCATCATATGTTATTTTTCACTTATCAAAGAGAAATGGTCATGAAAGACAAATTCCAACCAAATTCAGCATTTGTGGGTATTCTGGCAGTGTGCCACTCTAGAATTAAATCAGATTTTTGTCAGCTAAGGAGACAAAAGTCCCTTGCTTTTCATTCCTGCCCCGCAAAATTTGTTTTCTTAGTTCTGTTTATAAGCAGGATCACATAGGAACATGATTTTTTTTTCTGAATAAATCAGACAAAATAAAAGTCTCTGTACGCTTCCAATATGTTATATATTACTAGGATTTTATGGAAGAGGCTGCAGTACTACATCTTGGTGACAATTATATAAAAAAATAAATCAGCTGGTTTTGGAGTGGGAATGTGTGTGGGCTTTGTGTTTTGTTTTGTTTTATTTATTGGTTTTGGTTTTTTAAAATTTTGATATATTCAACAGTACAAACTCCGTGTACTTTGTGAAACTTGAATGAAAACTCGACTGTTCCTTTGAATTTCAGAAATCTCACCAGGGGGTTGCTGAAAGCAGTTACTTGGTTTCCATAAAATGCCTTCCAAATGCTGCACATGGAATGCAGGTTTAATGACCAGATAGAAACCTTATGTGAAGATCCAGCACAGGTCTTCACCATGAAGGCCATGCTGAATGTTATCAGCTATGCTGAGCCTGTTAGAAGGCAGATATGTTCAGGGCAGAAAGTTCAACAGTTTAAAACATATATAATAAGAATATAGCGTTTCTATACTCTCAATTCAAGTATAAACTAAAACCTGGGTTGGAAACAGCTCCTCATTTTGGAGTGTGTCTGTAGTCTCTTTTATGACTCCATCAAGAAAAATCATAATATTAACTGAAGGAAACAACCCTTATAATCTCATATATTATGCCTTACCAGAGCTGTTATGCTTTTTTTTACAGTGTTCAATTACATATAGGCTGGAAATTCTTGTAGCAATAGGGATCTTTGTTACACAGAGACAGGAATGTGAATTCTTAAGCCAAACATAGAAAACCAACCCACCAGTAAGTTAGTTAATTTTAAAGGAATACCCTCTTGAATTATAAAAGCTGTGCAGGGAAAAAAAAAAATAAAAGCAGGTTCCTGAGGCATTCAGCTTCATTTTTACAGGCTCATTTACTATGTCAATTCAAATGCAAGAGTAACTCATTTAGCTGTGCTAGTAATTCTTACTCTGTATGTGACAGCCAGAGTCCAAGGAAATTAAGCAGGACAATAG